CCGCCGGCGCGAGTCCAGTTCGCAGGAGGAGGAGGTCATCGACGGCTTCGCCATCGCCAGCTTCAGCACGCTGGAGGCCCTGGAGGTAGGCGCCGCCCCCGCCTTGCCTCCGCCCCGCCGCGAGGCCCACTGCCGGTCCGCACCCTGCTCGTGGCCTTTCTTTTCTGCCCCCCAAACCTCGCCGCGCGCGGCTCGAGCCGCGCCGAGGACCCTGCGGGACGCGGCGGGGCGGTCACCGGACGGACACTCGGGAGTTCGCACCCACCGGCGGTGGGAGGGTGGGGCCCTGCCTTGTGAAGTAGGTGGCTAGGGAGACTTGCCCGGCGGAATTACCGCGGTCCGCGTGCCGGGCGAGGCCCGTCAGAGTCGGCCGGAACCGCGCGGTCCTCTAACTGGTCTAGGAGAAATGCTGGTGTTCCGAACGCCAGCGCCGCCACGCTTCCGCCGCGCACTTATTTTGGAGAACAGCGGCGGCCGGCCCAAGCTTGTGGATTGGGCTGGGCGGACGGATAAACCCAGGCCCCAGCTGTGTTGCCTGTGTGACTCGAGCTGGTAGTTACCCACAGCCCTGGGTCCTCTTGTGTACCCAGAGGTGGGGGGTTGGAGATGACTCCTGGGCCAGGGCTCTCAGGTGAACTGGTGGGGTCTCGAGCTCTCCTGCAAGTTCTTTGGCGGCCTACAAGCAGGTCCCTCAGTCTCCAGGAGCCAACACCACCCACCTTCTCGCCTGCTTTCTGTCTATGTCTGCTTCTCATCAGGGGTTTCTTCTGGTGGTATCCTGCTGCTGCCAGGCCTCTGCCTGGGTTCTCTTAAGTACCTCTCCCGAATGACCCTTCAGCTCCTTACTCCCCAGTGGTCTGATTATTTGCTGGCTGTTTGGGCATTTGCTCTACCATAACTTGTCAGCTGGAAGACAGAGGGTGTTGCCAAACTGTGTAGACCTGGGCCGCCTCCCCCCCCCCCAATCTCCCCCACTGGGGAAGGGTGTGAGAGGAGAGCCAGGGTTTGGGGAACTGTACTGAGGGTGGAGCTGTCATCATCCTGCACCCAGCCCTGCTGCTTGAACTTCTCTCAGCCCTCCTAAGCCCTGGGGGCAGGGAACCTGGAGCAGCACAGTTCTACCCACAGATGTCTCCTCTGGCCCAGTTTCTTGCTGTGGTGGATGCTTTTCCCCAAGTGCAACCCCTGGTGACGTTAGGCTCCAGACAGCATGCAATGTCTATGTGCTCAGCAGGCCTCCTCAGGCTGCTCATCTCCTTGCACAGAGTGGGGTGCTGGGGCCAGCCTGTCTATCCTGGCTCTAGGGAGCCTGTCTTGGCTGGAGGGCCCTACCATGCATAGAACAAGTCCCTGCCTCTGGGGCCAGAAGAGGCTCTGGCTGGCTGTGAGCACAGCAGGTACTCTGTGAATGTTGGGGGGCGGGGGAGATCTGGCCTGGCTGGGGCGGCTGCCTAGAACCCTGGGGTGAGCCTTGTCCACCAGGTCTGGGTTGGGTGCCTGGAACAACTTGTCTGAGTGGAAGGTGTATAGAGACCATGGGTAGGCATGGGTCGCCTACCTGAGTCCCAGCCCCTTTCGATGTTCTCTTTCTAATTGGCAGGTGGGGGTGGTGAACAGGTAGCAGTGGGACAGTGGGCTGTGTTTTGGGGTCACAGGCATCTCCTTTTCTGGGCAAGAATTCTTGGGTCATTTAGAATGCACAGGCGACTGTTGTCACTGTGGTTTCTAGTATGTTGACCAGCAGTGACAGGAAGGCCTTTGAGTCAAACTGGGGCAGCACTATAAACTGTGGTTCTCTGCCTGATCCCTTGCTTCCCTGATGTCACAGGCTTTCCTTGGTCACTGGGCAGGTGGTGCCAGCCCCTGGGTGTCCCTGGAGGCCTGCCTATGCACCTATTTCATGCCCCCTGTAGCTTTCCAGGGGTGAGCAGTGGACGACTGCAGAAGAGGCCTCTGTGCTTCAGTTTCCCTGTCTGCCCTTTCCTAATTTTGTGAGAATGACAGACGTATCTCTCTCCCCATTTGTCTGCTCAGCGCCCAGCATCTGTGCTGTGTTAAGAATGCAGCCCTGCAGGTACACAGATGAGTGTGTGGGTTTGTCCATGTTGCAGTGTGTGTGCACGTATGTTTACACCTGCCTGACATCTACTTCCTCTGGCCTGAGTGGGTCTTGGAACCCCTAACCTTGTCTCTATCTTCCTGTTTCCCCCACCTGCCTATTTGGCCCTGACTGATCTAGCTCACCCAAACCTTGACTAGGGAATTAGCTCAGAGGTCCTAGCCTGACAGACAGGCCTACCACTGGCCCCCCAGCCACAGGCTACAGTCCCTGACTCACTGGGCCTTCTGCCTCTCAGCTACTGTGGCCGTCACTTTTGGGCTCCAGTTCATTGGGGACCCCACTTGGTCCTGGCAGGAGATTCTCTCCCCAAGTGGCCTCAGGCCCTCTGGTCTCACTCAGACTAGGTCATCTCTGCCCTTCTCTCTTCCTGGCAGGTGGGCCACCTGCCCCTTGCCCCTTCAAGGCCGCAGGGGTGTCAGCATGCTCCTAATATCTCCTGCCTGCACGCCTCCTCCAGGGCTAGGCTGCCAGCTTGTGGATTCTGCCATCTGGGGGCATCTCTGTCTGATTGGCTGGCAGGTGTGGGCACATGCTTTTCCCACCTAGCAACTGGGCAGTTTATGGGCTTTTCCTCTGCTGGTGGCTGGATCTGCTCAGTGCTGCCTGGACTGTGTCCCATGGCAGGTTCACAGCACCCATGCTTCTGGGGAGCCACATTGGGGTGGAGGTATGGAGCAAGGGGCCGCCTCTACAGGTAGGGAGGCTTGCTGTATATTATATTGTCCCAGGGAGGTTGTGGGGGTGGGGAGCTAGAGCCACCATGCCACAGACCATCATCAGAGGGGCCAAGGCATTCCTTTCTGTCTTTGGTGCTGGAGCCCCCCACCTGCTTCCCTGTGCCTCTGAGCTCAAGCCCCTGGAAGTGACTGTTGGTCAGTAGGAAGGCCCTGGCTTGTCCCTTCCTCCCTGGCCCACAGACCTTGGCTCCTAGAATGGCCCAGGGACTCAAGAGAGGGCTGCTGGGCAGGACTGAGGGCAAATGGAATTGGTGCTCCAGGAACTCAAGTCAAGTGAGATTGGCTTCCTTTCAGCCCATGGGGTGTCCAGTGCCCTGACACTGGAAGGAAAGTGCACAGGAAGTTCCTGACATAAAACTCACTGCGGAGTCTCTGTCTTTACTTTGCCCAGAACTTGGCCAGACTCCTCCTTGGCCTACAGAGTAGGTCCAGCCAGTGCCCACTTGTTCAGTACCTATCCAGGCCAGGGGCAGGGAGGGGGTTCCCTGACAATGCCTAGGCTGCACCCGTCTGGAGAGGGGTCTTGGTGCCCCACTCTGCTTCTCCCTGGGGTGCTACTGGGTGGTTCTGCCCCCTGAACTCTGCACAGGGCCCACATGCTGATAGGACACAGGCAGTGGGCAGTTGTGAGAGCAGAGAGCTGTCTGTGCAAGTTTGTACCTGACCCTGAGGGCTGGCCACTGGCACTCCTGGCCCCCGAGGAGGTGCCTGGCCTGTGGTGAGATGGTGTCAGACCAAGGCATGTGGGAGTGGGGGTGACACCTAGCACAGGACAACTGGAACAGGTATGCTAGGCTCTAGGAGTTGGGGTTAGAGCTCTGCACCCCAGAGAGCACAGGCTTCCCAGCTGCTCCGGCTACCAGCCTTTCCTGGACTCAAGGCAGGCTTAGTGCCACGAAGATTCCAGAGTCAACCCTAAGGCCCATTGGACTGCCTAGTTCATGGTGGATGTTCAGATCAGAGATGTGGTCACATCTCCAGGGGCTTCCACTGTCCTGTGTGGCTGTCCCTTTCCTGGAAGCCCCTCTTCTATGTCTTCCCATCGGTCACTGAGTTGGACAGGACAGCCTCTTGCATCTTCTCTGTGGTCACCCTCAGCCTCAGGAGGAGAAAACCTCCCGTCCTGGGACACCCGCCCTCACAAAATGCCAAGAGCCCTGCAGGCCCTGTGAAGTCCTCCCCTGAGCCTTGTTACCCTTCTGGCCCCAGGCCTGGCCCTGTGTGCGGGTCCTCAGATCCAGCAGCCTGTGAAGCCCCAGGGGACTTGTTGGAGGGAGGTGCCCGTAGACCTGTCTCTAACTGACCGGGGCACTTGACTCCTGCGAGCACGTCTTGGCTGGCCTGGATTCCCAAGGGCCTCCATCTGCCCCCGCCCCTCCTGTGAGGCCTGCCCCTGCCTATCTCCCTCCCAGGAGCCTGCGCCCAGCTTGCCTGCCTCGGGCCCTGTACATGCAACTCCTGTCCCCAGGAGTAGGTTCAGGATGCTTTCTTAGGACCCCATCCCAGATCTACTGATCAACTCTGGTCCTGGTGCCCGCTCTGCACCTCAGTTTCTTCATCTTGCAGGCAGGAGGTGAAGGTGCCTGCCACAGCATCAGGCAAGCTGATTGGCCCCAAAATCCCCATAGCTAGCGACAGCTGAGCACAGCTTTGGGCAGCAGCTGCATTGGCCCAGGACAGCCTGTCCACAGCCAACCCTGTGGCATGACCACGCACCATTTGCTGTCTGTGTGGGGGTGGGGAGGGGGATAGTTGTGTTAGACTTAGGGGTGGGGTCATGCTCTGGTATTTCCTCCTGGCCATTGCCCCATCTGCTCTCTCAGCCCACCCCTCTTGGAGCCCCCAGCCCTGGGGTAAAGTGTGGGTGTGAGGCCATGTGGGCCCAGTAGGAGGAGGGGAGGGATCCAGGGTGCCCTTAGACCCCTGGACTGGCCAGTTCCTGGTGGAGTGACCAGACCCACTTCCATGGGGACCCTGACTCTGCAGGGCCATCACTCACTCTGGGCTGGGGGCAACACAGGGGCCCCAGTTCTGAGCAAACTGATGGTCCCATTTGCCCCCAGTACCCAAGGACCACAATTCAGAAGGACTTACAGGGCTTGGTGTCTAGGGTTCTCCTCTAACCCAGCCTGTACTCCCCTTGGAGGCTCTGCCTGGTCGCCCATGTCTCAGGCCACAGGGCCCTGTCTGGGGGGAGTCTGAAGACAGGCCTTGGCCACCACAGCCTCTGGGCTTGACAGAGCAGCCCTGGGCCTGGCCTTGTGTAGGGGGATGTGGGCCAGGAAGAACCTGTGTACATATCTCTCCTCTCACATTTGGCCTCCTGGGTACCATGAAGCCCATGGTCCCCACAGAGACAGCACTTAGGGTGTAGAAGCACCTGAGAGAGGCTGTCAGGGCTCGTGGGCCCTTCTACAGGGTGCAGGGATCTATATGGCCATGCCTGCCTATCCATGCTGCCTGCCCATGGGTGCACACTGACCAGGTGGGTGGCCAGCGGTAGGGGGATGATAGTGCCAAGACCCTGCGTGAAAAACTCCGTTGGTGTCTCCCTTCAGCACTGGTGGCAACCAGCAGTTCCACTTTTCTCCCAGCTGCCACTGCAGTCCTGGAGGGCCACCTTGTCTGCATCTCACCCCAGTCCATCCTTATATGCTCACTTACTGCCTAACCTCAGCTGACGAGGCCCCCTTTCCTGTGGGTCTGCCCTGAGGCTCTCACTGACCCCAAGGGTGGCCTCCCAGGGCCTTGTTATACTGGTCTGTGCCTCCCTGGACAGCTTCAGCCTTCTGGAGCCTTCCCTGTAGGGAAGAGCTGGCTGGAGCCCCACTGTTCTAACAGGCTCAGCTGGGCCAGAGCTGTGACTGTGATTGTCCCCACTGAACACTGGAAACTGCCCTAGCCCCCTACTCTCCACCCGTGCAGTCAGAAGGCTGTCTACACCCACCTACTGTGCTGTGTGTGTGTGTGGGGGGGGGTGGCTGGGGCCTGGGGAGTCTGTACTGGGAGCCCAGGACCTTGGGGTCATTCTCAGATGACAGCTGGGGTTGGGCCTGAGGCCTGCTGTGAGACCTCTGGGAGAAGGGGGTCTTGAAGTCTCCCTGTGGGCCCTGAGAGCTGTGGCCCCGTCCCCACTAGGCTCACACCTGCTCTGCCAGTCTGGCCCAGGACAGGTGACTTGCTGCTGCTTGCTTCCTCCAGGCTCTGTGACATCATCTGCCACTGGGGTGTGGACTCGGTGTCCAACCTTGGAGAGGATTTGCAGGCTCCTAGGGACATGGTTGTTGGCTCAGGCAGTGACCTGCCAGACTAGCTGTGGGGTGAGATGGGCGTGAATGGGCCCAGGGTGTCCATGTGGCCTGTGAGTGCACTGGCGAGGGTGTGGGAAATGCTGCTGCTATTGTTCCACACCCCTGCCGCCTGGCTCTCAGGTTCCATCTGCCGTGGGAGTCCCCAGCCCAGCATCCGAGTTGGTGGCTCCCAAGCCAGCTAAGCTGGGCCCCTTTGGGACCGGCTTCTCCCTTGTGGGGCTGACATCACAGGGACTCAAGCCTGGAGAGTTGGTGGGGGCAGCTGGGCCCTGGCTGTGGCCACTAAGCAGGTTGGCACCTGTGGGTGCTTGGGAGTCATCTGGTTGCTCGTGGTCCAGACGCCCTGCTTGGGCCTCTCAGTCATAGCTGGCCCAGCCTGCAAGAGTATGTGTCACATGGTGAGGGGGCTCTCAGCCAACTGGGGTGCCCAGGCAGCTTGGGCAAGAGTGTGCTGGGTGGGGGGGAGTCATGTGGGAGCGCCCGGGGCTAAGTGAGGTGAGCCCCTGTGGCAGCCCATGCTCCCTGTCTATTTCCTGGGTTTCTGGGCACCCTGGGCAGTGTGTGTATGTACACCCTCACCCACAGCTCTGTACTCCTTTGCGTCTCATCTTCCCATGCTCCCTCTGCCTTCCTCTTGAGCCTGGCCCCCAGCACCAAGAGGCTGGCTGGTCAGTGACCCTAAGGAGGCTTTGAGCACAGGGGCTCTGGCATCAGAGGAGTAGGGGGCAGGAAGGTGACCAGGTTCTGGGCCACACTGCAGGGGCAGGGGTGGGAGAGGCCATGGGGGACTGTCTCCCTGAGTGGGGAGTCTTTGGTCCCTGGTGGTGTGTGGCTTCTGCAACTGTGAGCCACATCTGTCTGCCCTGAAGGTAGGGGGCAGACAGGAGGGGGCAGTGGCTGGGCCTCAACTTGGGGAGACCCACCTGGCAACCATGGCATGGTCCTTCCTGCCACCACCAGGTAGGATGTGGCCATAGCCACTCAGGTAGCCCTGACCAACTCCCTTGTTGGCTGCCCTGTCCCTGCGTTACCCTAGTGCAAGCCAGCAGGTATGCCTCGAGCACCTCCGGGGGGCGTAAGAGCTGCTGCCCTTGTCACACAGGTCCATGCAGCCTGTGCACCCGTGAAGCAGTGCTGGACTTGATGGATAAACCTGAGCCCAGGCTGCCTAGGTCAGGGCAACAAGGTGCACATCTGCAGGGGTCCTTGGCTAAGGACAAGACCTGCTGAGTGCTCCTTGGGAAGCTCAGCCACCAGCTATGCCCCACCCCCAGCTCTGACAGGCACTCCTGGCTGGCGTGGGCTGGGATCTTGGGGGTTTGCCCTGGGGAACCCCTGGCACAGTGTCACTGTCCACTCACTGGCTGTCTCCCCCCCTGCAGAAGGACATGGCCCTGAAACCCCATGAGCGCAAGGAGAAGTGGGAGCGTCGCCTGGTCAAGAAGCCCCGCGAGTCAGAGGGCTGCCCGACAGTGGCAGTGGCAGTGGTGGCTGCGGGGCCCAGCGAGAACGGGAGGCCCCTGGAGGCAGATGGTCCTGCAAGGGACACAGAGCCCACCTGTGAGCGGGGCCTGAAGAAGGCTCCCTTGCAGCCCGCCCAGCAGGTAAGACTGGACCCTGTACCTTGCCCCAGCCCTGACCACTCCAGCACCTGGATGCTGCCCAGGCGTCTGGCTGCCCGGCAGTGAGCCTTGTCATGTTGGGCCGGGCATGGGGCACACATGGACCCGCCTGCTCCCACACCAAGGCCAAGTCCCCCACATGGTACAGTGAGCTGGGTCGGGCAGGCGTGCACTGGGCCCAGATGGGCAGGAGGGTGTAGCTGGTAGGCTGGCCCCGTCTCCGGCGTGTCTGTCAGGCTGCGCCGATTGTGGTGTCCATTATCTGTGCAGCACTGGTGGCTAGTGCCCTCCACTTGCTCAGCTTGCAGAGCCACAGCTGGGCAGGTGGCCGGCTCCCCTGGTGGCTGGCGGCGTGGTATGGGGTGCGGGGCTCTGCCCTGCCTGCTTCCTCTGAACTCATGGGTGCGCGCCTTCTCCGCGGTGCTCCTCGGTCTCGCTTTACTCTCCCCTCCCTGGGGATCCAGCTGCTGGTGAGGGCAGCATGTCTCGGGCCTGGGCTGGATGGGGGGTCTGCAGGCGCACCTGCCCAGGTGGACACGTGCTCTTTCTTCCATGCAGGTGTGCTCCCCCGAAGGGGGGCCGCTCCCAGCCAACCACTGGGACCAGAACCGCCCGGCCCAGCGCCAGCAGCAGCTCCAGCCCAGCCCGCCCCAGGGCTCACTCCCAGCCCCGTGTCGGCGCTGCCAGCCCCGTCGGGCTCTCCCGGACCCTGGGCAGCCCTGCCCGCCCCAGCGGCCACTCCCAGGTCAGCGCAGCTGGCCCCAGCGGTCAATTCCGGGTCCGAGACATCCCTGCCAGCCCCGGCGGTCACTTCTGGGCCCAGGTCAGCCCTGCCGGCCCCAGCATCTACTTCCAGCCCCAGATCAGCACTGCCGGTCCCAGCGGTCACTCCTGGCTCAGCCCTGCCGGCCACGCTGGGCACACCTAGGCCCTCGGCAACGTTGCCGACGCCTACGCTCCCTCCTGGGCCCATGCCACCTCTACCGGCCCCTGCGCTCCCTTCTGGGTCCATGCCACCTCTCTCGGCCCCTGCGTTCCCTCCTGGGTCCATGCCACCTCTGCTGGCCCCTGTTGGCCTTCTGGCACCGCTGTTGGCCCACAAGGTCGTGGGTGTCTCCAGGTCCCCGTGGCCAGCCCAGCAGGGCATCCTCAGGACAGCGCCGCCGGCCTCTTCGGTCTCTGCTAGCTCATTGCCCACGGTGCCAGCCCCCACAGTCACTCCTCATGCTGTGCCCACGTCACCGGCCTGCCAGTTCACTCTCAGAGCAGTGCTGCTGCCCCCAGCGGACACTCCCAGCCCCCGGCCAACCACGCAGGTCCCTCCTGGGCCAGCCTGGCCGTCCCCGGCGGACACTGCTGGGCAGTGGACAGCCGATACAACAAAAACGGCCGCCCCCAGGCCGAGGACATTCCCACCCACCTAAGCAGCCAATCCTCGGCCCAGAACAGCCTTGTCGGCGAAAGCGGCCACTCCTGGACTCAAAACAGCCTACCCAGCCCCTGCGGTCACTCCTGGGCCCGAGCCACCCCTGCAAACCCCAGCCGCTGCTCCCTCTTCCTGAGCGACCGTCACTCCTGGGACGGCCATCCCTCTCCCGCCGGCCTCTTCTAGGGCCCCCAGGCCAGCCACAACAGTCCCTCTTGGACCTGGGTCGAGGTCATCAGCCTCGGCTCTCGCTCCTGACCCTGGGCCGGCCGGGCCGGCCCGTGAGGTCCCGACGGACTCGATCCTCCACCCCCGCTGTGGCCCGCCAGGCCCCATCTGTGAGCCCTGGAGCCTGAGGTCTGCTTTCCAGACTGCCCAGTGTTGGCTGTGGCAGCCAGGGCCAAGCCAGGACTGCCCATCCTGCAGCCTGCCTTGTGTGCTGGACTGGCCAATGGCCCTCTCGACACAGGCTGGGCTGCTTGCTGTGGAGCCCCCACAGGCTGCCCCAGGCTGGGGCTGCCGGACCAGCACGAGAGGAAAGGACCCTGGCAGGACCCCGGCGTCTCCCACCTGCTCGCCACACCACTGCCTCACGACATGCTGCCCCGTGGGGCAGGGCTGTCCGGGGCCACTGTGTCTGTGCCTGCCCACCAGGGTTCCATGCATCCCCATGTACCTGGCTCAGTGGCTGGGTGAGCGGGTGTGGGAGGTGAACTAGGGGCGTGTTATTCACATACCCTGATCCTCAGGCCCACCTGTGCCCAGATTGCACTCCTGGCCTAGGCTGAGCAGGGGCAGGTCTTGCCAGGTGGTGTCATGCACCTTCCAGGGAGGGGGCTCAGCTCTGACTCTGGATCTCTGGGGGGCTGCCCTCTCTGAGTGCAGCGCCTGTCTCTTCCCTGCCAGAGCATGCCTGGCCCTCTTCCCAGGCCCTCCAGAAGTGCAGCAGGGTTATTTTTCTGATTAAAGGAAATAAAAAGTGCCGTGCCACTGTTTCCACAACAGCACCAGTGTCTGTGATGGACAGGGAGTGTGGGCTGTGTGTGAGGGGCTCACCAGCGAGTGGGTCTGCGCCTTGGGCTTGCTTCCTCCCCCTCCTGGGAGGACAGCGGCCTTGAGAGCCCATCTGGAGCTGATGGGGACCAGGCCGTGACTGGGTGCTCAAGGATGGGCTCCGTGGGTGTTTGGTTGGCATCAGGGGCCTCAGGGCAGAAGGGTTGGGGCAGAGCCTGGGTATCAGCATCCCTTCCCCACATGGCCTCGAGATTGAGGGCTGCCAGGGGGTTGGGTACCATCTGACAGGCCAGCCCCGAGACCCAAGTGCTTCAGGGAGGCAGCATTTTGTGATAGGGGTGGTGGCTGGAGGCATCTGCAGGCCTGGGTTTCCTGCAGATTTGGGAGCTCTGAGTGACTGGCTGTGCGAGCCCTGTGGTGGAGCTCTGGGCTTGAGGCTGGTGTGGGTGTGACTACCTAGGAGGCCGGGCAGCCCAGCCAACAGAGAAGATGGCTCCATGGGAGACAGGTGTCCGGATTCTGGGGCAGGCCTCTCCTGGGAGTGCCCTTCCCCTGTGGTATGCCCATGGGCCCCAGTCCTACCAGCAGAGCACCCAGGAAGAGCGTGTTTGCAGGTGAGCCTGTCCAGCACCCATACTGCTACCCAACCTGCAGGCAACCCTTTGAGGAGGTGCCTATGGCCAACTGGCGGCATGGCTAGTGCAGGGTCGGGGCAGGCAAGGGTAAGGAAGCCCTGGGTTGGCTGCCCTGAACTCTGGCTGAGCAGTGGCCGCTCTCCCAAGAGGCTTTCTAAGGAGCAGGGTACCCATGGGGGGGCGGGGGTGTGACGCACAGAGCTTCTTCAGTGTTCTGGCTGCCTCAAGAACCATGTGGTGGCTTGCAGAAAAAAAATTAGAGGTGACCAAACTGCCTTTAACAGCATTTCAACAAGCATTGGGCATGAGTGAACCATGGCCACCTGCTTCTCCAAGCACGTTGGCCACCCTCCCCCACGCCACATCCCAGACAGGCTGTGCCAGGGCAGAGGACCGAGCCTCCCTGCCGCCCATCAGGCCCCCTCCTGTGCTCTCTGGCCCCGCCAGACCCAACCCCTGGGTTCCCCAGTCCTGCCAGGCCCCCTCCTGTGCTCCCCTGCCCATCCTGTATGGATCCCATATACACACAGGCTGGCATGACACTCCCAGTATCCCTGGCACCCATGTCCAGGGTTAGTCCCCTCAGCCTGCTACCCCAGAAGGTCATATGCTGCCAGGTCCTGTGTTCAGAGCCAGCAGCAAGGCCAGGAAAGTGTAGCAGCAGGGCCATGGCTCAGGAAGGGGCAAGCACAGCCCCACACTGGGTGGCCCAGCTCCAGACTGCCATTGATGTACTCCTGGTCTGCAGGCAGACCCCATGTGCCCCGGCAGTCCTTGACCCCCCTCAGGGTGAGGTCTGGGCCTGAGACTGCCCCTCCTCCCCACTTGCTGTGCCTTGCCTGCATTCCTACCTGGTAACCCCGCCTGGAACCCCTTCTGTGCCACCTCTACCCCATGCCCCAGTGGGCACATGCTGGCTTGCAGGTCCCACCAGACTGGGTGGGCCTGTTCTTTGTGCAGACCAGACCCTTGGGCTGGGGTCCTCTGTGAGCAGCAGGGTTACACCAGCCGTCCCCAGGTTGTAGGCTGTCTCACTCACACCTGGGCTGCTTTGTCCTGCCTTGGTTTAGCTTCAGAAACAAGCGTGGGGCCCTGGGTCATCACCCCTCACCCTCACCCCCCCCCACCAGCTCTGCAGTTGCGTGGGCCCTGCCCTGTGGCCACCTGTCTGGGTGCCTTTTCATGGGGATGGTGCCAGCAGGGTGATCAGCCTTGCAGTGGCATGGACACCTGTGTGTGGGGCCTGTAGCTGGAGAGAGCTGAAGGCTGGATCATGGGATGCTGGAGGCCCACCAAGACACAACCTGTGTTCTGAGTATTGCCCGCCCCCAACCCCTGGCCTCTTGTCCTGCCCTGCACAGGCCTCTGCCTGCCCTGCACAGGCCTCAGCCTGTCAACCCCACCCCTGCCAGGTGATTCCATTTGGGAACTGGGTGGGTGGTTGGGGGGGGGGTTTCTGTAGCCCAGGGACCAGGCCCCCCAGGTGGCATTCCAGAGCTGAGCCTTTGCTGGGCCGTGAGAAGGCAGTGCAGGGGCCAGGGGGGCCAATCTGGGGCTAGTGCTGCTGCTGGGAGGTGTTGGGGGCCGAAGGACCAAGTCCCTTGGACAGACGGGGCAGCATGGAGTAGGCTGACAGGCCTAGCCAGACGCTGCTGGAGTGTGCTGGGCCTAACGCCAAGCCTAGCTTTGGGGCTGCACCTCTATTACAGTCCTTGCAGGCATGCCAGCACCCTGCCCAGCCTGTGTTCCAGGAGCCTGCTTGCCACCCGACTCCTGGGATATGGCCTCGCTGCCCACCTGCCCCCTCACCACCAACCCTCAGGGTCACCTTGGATGGCTTGCCCTGACCCTGCAGGCCGTGACCATGGTCAGCCCAGAACTGACCCAGTCATGCCTACTGGGTGGACAGGGGCCTGGTTCCTGGCGGGGTTCCCACGGATGGGTGCCAGTCATGGTTCTCTCTCAGGGGATGTAGGACCCTGGCCTAGGAGTGGAGCCAGAGTCCCTACTTTGGCTTCTGGGGGGAGCAGGCGTGGCTCAGTGAGCCTACACAGCCAGGGAAGTGTAGGGCCTCTGGACACTGCTAGTGGACAGCCTCTTGCAGCCTCCCTCGCCCACTGCCAGCCATGGCATGGGTGTCCCCAGAAGGTGCAACACCTGGGCCAGGTGTACCTGAGAGAGGGAGGAGAGGCCTGGAGGCTGAGGAAGGACATACCAGCTCCTGCCCTGCCTAGCTCTGGGACATCCAGAGCTGGAGGGCTCATCTGCAGCAAAGGGCAGAGGCCCACTAGGGTGTCCCTGGCCCATGACCGGTAGCCAGGCATCCACTGCAGGCGCACTGGGGCCCTTATGACTGGCAGGAGGGGCGTAAAGGACACTGAAACCCAGACCTTGGAGTCCCAGGGCCACAGTTCAGGAGAGTGAGGCAGGGCCTTTGCTGTGGCCTGGCACTGGGCTGCCTTTGTGTGGGTCTGCAAGGTTCCCTGGTGTCTGCAAGGGTCAGGCCAGTACCTTCCTCATGTCTGCATCCTGGGAAGGCCAGTGTCAATGACCGCTAGCTAGCCTGGGGCATGCACACACGTGTGCCCCGGGGTGCTCGCGCATGCCTGGCACACGCAAGGCTCCATCAGGCATAGCTCATGCCATGCCCAAGAGCTCCTGCCCTGCCCTGGAAGTGTGAGGCAGTGTGTGGCCACACCTGCTGCTGGGCAGGCAGAGCCCGTGTGGGTGTTGGCTGGGCCAGTTGGGGCATGTGAAGGATGCATGTGCTGAGGAAGCTGTTTCCATATGGGGGGGCTTGGAAGGGGGGGCCGAGGTCTCTTGTGCACCCTGTGGAGGTCTTGGCAGGGCAGAGCACACTGGGGCCATCCCCCTGTCAGAGCGTCCTGTGGGCCTTCCCTGCACACTGGGCCTGGATCCCCAGCATGCCACAGGCAGAAAATGAGGAGGGAGCTGGCAAGTCTGGTGTCCCCCACCCCGGCTGCTGGCCTGAGCACTAGCCCCACCAGAAGTGCCCCCTTTCTGCCTTACTGGCCACACAGCATGGGGTCCCAGGACCTAGGGGCCTGGGAGTCACCACTGGGATTGTCCTGGGAGTGGCTTGGCTGAGCCCCAAGGGTGGGCAGGAGAAGGGGTCCGGTGGTGGCTGGGCATGCCCTTCCCAGACTCAGGATGGTCTCTAAGCAGCTTTGTGGTACGCCTGGTGGAACCGCTCCAACCATCCACAGGTCCTGGCTGGTGTGGACGTCCCAGTGGCCATGGGCACAAGTTTGGCTAGCATGTGCAGAGCTGAGATCAGTGTGAGCCCAGAGTCAGAAGGTGGAGCCATAGGGACATGATGGGGGGGGGGGGGGGGGTTGGTGGGCAGCAGACCCTGGTCCTGTGAGGAGGCCAAGAGGGTAGCAGGAGCTGAGGAGATCAAGTCAGCCTGGGGCCCAGGTAATGGACCTGGCCGTGAAGGTGTGACGTGGGTGTGTGGGCCCACAAGGGGCTGGGTACCAACCCCTCCAGCCGTCACTCACTACTTGGCCCTCTCCTGGCCCCGTGGGGGCTCCGGTGTGAAGGGCCAGGGTAGGGCAACCCCTGCTGCAGAGGCAGCTCTGTGTGGCCGTGGCCCCAGCTGCCTGCCCCAGGTTGGGGGGCTGGGCGAGCCTGTGGCCCTACCCTTTCCTCCACAGGGTCTTTCCCTTGGGGTGTCCCTACTGCCCCCAGGGCTGGGGCCCATGGGCCAGAGCAGGTGGGTGGGGTCAAGGGCTATGCTGAGCCTAGCTCTCCTGTCCCCAGATAAAGGTCTCCGTGTCCAGAGGGGGTGGCCGCCACAGTGATGATGACAGCGTCCAAGAAGCCGCCAGCTCCCGACGCAGCAGTTCCAGGGACCGGCTCAGCGACGTGAGTACCGCCAGCCTGCAGCTCTCTCTGCAGGCCCCTGGGGGCTCCCATGACTGGGGTGGGCAGTTGGCCTGGATGCTGAGAGGCTGCAGGGCCCACTAGGAGGTGCCTGGGCTAGGCTGGAGGGGACCAGTTGTGGGGATGATCCATTACGCAACACAGCACTCCACTTGGGGTTGACCAGGGAGGACTGGGGGGGGGGGTCTTTTGTCTTCCTGACCCTCAGCTGCAGAGGGCCCTGAATGGGAAACAGTCCTTCAGAACTATCTCCAGGACTAAATTGAACAAGTTGTCCCTCATTATCGTTTAAATGGGGGGCCCCTGGAGAGCCAGCTACACCAGGAGGGGCCTAATAATAGGCTGGTAATTGAGTGGACTGCGGCTGCCCCAGTTCATGCTCTGCAGCCTTTGCAGTGTGAGCGTCCTCCTGGCTGGGGCCTCTGGCCCTGCACACTTCCACCAGGCTCCCGCATGGCTACCCACCCTACTCTGGGCCCTCCCTGCACTGATCCTGCTGCCTGTGCCTGGGGCAGCCCCTGCAACACCCCAGATGCCTGAGGGAGCTCATCGCACATGGGGCCACCCCACAGGACTACCATGGTGTCCTGTCCGACTCCTTCAGGAAGTCTCCCTGAAGTTCCCTAACACAGAGTCACCCTGAGGGCTGGAAAGGATGGGGGGCTAGGCCCAGAAGGGTGGGCTCCCACAGCCTCATCCCACTTCCCAGCAGAAGAAGGGAGAGCCTGAGAAAAGGTCTGCCTGTTGGGCTGCTAGCTGGGCACCCTAGGTCTTGGGGTGCAGTTTCCAAGTGTGGGGCCCCAAGGTACTCAGCTGCCCTGTGCAACTTCATTCCTGTGGCCCCCAAGGCACCAGGGAAGCCCCCAGTGGGGCTACCTGCCCACCTTGGGGCCACAGCATCTTCATCCACGGGTGGGAGCCTCTGGAGACAGGGTGGCCCTGGGGAAGCCTAGTCCTAACGGCCCCTTCCTCCCACAGAGCTCGGTGCAGGCTCTCTCAGGCAGAGGCTACTCGGTAAGTGTGCACCCTACCCATCCTCTTGCCCTTGCCCACTGCCCCGAGGCAAGCCATGGTGAGCTTACTGCTATAGCATCTCTGGCCTGCGTGGTGCCACCCAGGATCCCACCGCAGGTGGGCCTGCCGTCCACTAACATGACGGAGGGGCTAGGTCAGACCTCTAGCCTCTGGGTGCAGTCGGGGCCCTGGATAGTGTCCGGCCTCCCTAGTGTTCTGATCCTCCCCCCACTCAACTGCCAGAGGCTGGACACAGGGTGAGGCCCCAGGCTCCTTGCTCCAGTCCTAGATAGATCTGCCCTGGGGAGCAACCCTTGCCCCTCTTCGTGCCTCTATTTCACTTTCCCATAAGCATCGAGAATGTACCATGCCATAAACGCTCTGCTCCACCAAGGCCCTTTCTGCAGCCTGATGGGTTTATCCAGAGGGAACCTAGGGCTGACATGGCCCTGCAGCCTAATTTACTGGGGCTCCGGCTCTATGGGCAGCTCCCTGAGCCACAGCTGCTCTCACAGGGTGCCTTTTCCCCCTGACTCCCCATGTGAGGGGACTGCCTTGGATTCCTAGCCTCACCTGACCCCCAAGGTCTGCCAGCCCAGCCCTTGAGCCTTGACAGGGGGCTGTGTCTTGTGGGCCTCCCTGGAGGGCCCTGCTCCTGGCAGCCTTGGGCCTGTAGTCAGCACAGTGCTGCAGGCCTCCTTGCTCTCTGACCTGTGATGGGCAGTGCTAGAGCCGGACAGGGGAGCAGGCGGAGGTGGGGAGCAGGTGGAGTAAGGGGCTGTGCTATCCCCCAGGGACTGGCCTTGGCTTTCAGCCTCTTGCCTTAAGCCCTGGGGCAGCAGTGTTCTCCCTGCCTGAGACTTCCCAACAGACCTGTGAAAGTGCTTCTCCTGCAAGTCCCGTCTTCCATGGTCTTCTCCCCAAAGCTGCTTTCAGAGGTCTCTGGGGAGGGACTGTGGCAGCTACAGCCTGAGGCTGGTGAGGCTGCCTCCCTGCAGGCACAGGGACCACCCAGAGCCCATCCCCTGTGGAGGCTGGAGTGGGGGTAGGGGGTGGTGGTGGGAGGTAACCCCTGCCCAGGACCAGGGGGACTGCAGCTGGGCCTGGGGTTGTGGCCACCAGCTCCGACCATGCCCCCCACAGAGGTCAGCAGCCGTCCTGCCCACTCTCCTAGGTGACTGTGGGATGGCGTGGTGGTGGGGGCTGCAGGCACAGCGCATGTCCGTGACCCCAAGGCAGCTCTGCGGGTCTGTGACATGCTGGGCTCCCTGCTTGGGGACATATGTCATCTAACTGGGGGCTGACTGTAGGGGACATCTCACCAGGACTCGCCCCCAGCACACCCCATGGCTGGTGGCAGTGACGCCAGGCTCACAGAAGCGCGTGGTTTGTCAGGGGGAGGTTTTCTTAGTCCGGTTGCTCCAATAAGGAAGGGACTTGGAGTGGGCTTGGAGGTCTCCTTAGGAAACAGGTGAGGGCCTGGGCCCTGCTGAGGAGGCAGCAGTCCTAGGCAGCAGGGCCCGCGCCACCTCCAAGGTTCCCGCAGCAACCACGTCTCTCCAGGAGGAGGACACTGAGGCTCAGAGGTCAGAGGACTCACAGGCACCCCACAGGAGGACTCCTAAGGCCAGCTCCCCCTGTGCCCAGTGGGCACCATGCCTACTGTGCTAGCCTTGCCCCTCACCCTTGTCGCCCACAGGAGGGAGGCCCCTTCCCTCTCCCTGGTCTGGGCTCTGCGTGGGCTGCGGAGTTAGGCCAGAAAGGATGGCTGCTTCCTTGCCTGCTCAGGCGCTGAGGAGGGAAATACAGCCAGAGTGTCCTGGGGCCTGATGCAGCAGGGGTAGGAGGGAGGGCACCACTGCGATGCAGGTCCAGCTCAGAGGCCCTGGGTGGGCAGGAGCAAGTGACGACTTGGAGTCCAGCGAAGGGAATGGGGCTTGTGGGCCCCCCAAGAGCATGGACCAGGGATGAGCAACACCTTCCTCCCAGGCCTGTGCTGGGTTAGTGAGCTCCAGCTATCAGACGTGTGCTCCATGGCCGCCCACACCCTCCAGACTCTGCCCACTCTAGCCGAGTGGCCCTGGACTCTGAGGCTGTTGTGGGTTGTTGCAAGGCAGCGACTGCAGCCGCTCTGGGGGGTGTCCAGCTTCCCTGCCCCTGCCCCTATGCCAGGTCATGGCTTTGGCTACCATGGGCAGGAAGGGCCCTGCAATGGGCGCAGGCTCAGGGCTCTCCCAGTGAGGCTCGGATATGAGGCTGGGGGCTGCCTGGGCCCTGCTTTCCTCCAGGAGTGGTTAGCACCTCCCAGCCACCTACACATGGATGCAGCTGCTGCCAGTACCGGCCTTCCAAGCCTCTCCTCAACCCAAAGTCAGCGGCCTGACTATGCAGAAGCTGCTAAACCTTTCACCTCCTAACAGGGCAGTCCAGCCTGAGCCCCCACTGCTGTCTGCGTCGCTGTCATCCTGCCACCCCTCCCTACTGCCATGCATGGCTCATGCAGTCCTGACGGAAGAGCTTGGGGACTGCCCTGGCAGTCAGAGCCCTCCCAGGTCACTGCTCTGTGTGTGGGCCTCAGTCACCAGCCCTAGAGAGTCAAGCGCCTAATGTCAGAACAGGAGCCAGCAGGTGCTGCGTCCCTCTAGCCAGAGGTCCTTCTGACCTTTCCTCCCAGCCTTGCCAGAGCTGTTGTCTTGGGTCTTGGAGGGAGAAGCCAAGCAGGAGTCTCCCTGGCTTTAAGCCAGTCCCACAGGCTGAGGGTGGTAGGACACAGCCAGCCCGTGGGTACATGTGCAGGGCACAGTACAGGTGTGCCCCCATGCCTGTCTTATAGCCTCTAGCACATGCGTGCCTGGCATGGAGGCCAGAGATAGGGGCCTGGGCTTGCTGGGTGGTGGCACCTGGCCCCCACATCCTTAGACACCTGGGCTAGTGGCACCATATCCAGGCAGTGAACACATCTGATACTGGGTCTCCAGGCTGTCTAGTCTTCACCCAAAGAACTGGGGTAGTGAGGAGTGGGGCCTCGTGCAGCATCCCCACAGCTTCTGAAATGCCACAGCGCTAGGCCTGACAGGGCTGCCCCCACAGAGTTGGCCAGGGCCAGAGTTGTTGGGTGGGTAGTGGGCAGGGCCACAGAGCCATGGGGTTCCTGTCCAGCCCTGGAGGCACTGGGGATAGAGGCCTAGCCCTTCCGTGCTGACTCTCTGCTTGGATGCCCTTGGATGTCAGATTGTAGGCAGATGGCCATGGCCAGTGCAAAGGAGGCTGAGGGCCGTGCATGGACTTCTACCAGCGGCTACTCTCAGCCACATCCAAAAGTGCAGGAGGGGGCCCTGGGACTAGAGAGTAGATGTGCCACCTCTATGTCCCCCTTTTTCTTAGCTGGGTGCCATGATCATGGCAAAGCTACTGACTATCAGGAGCTCCCTGGAGACCCAAGGCAGAGAGGAGGTAGGGACAGGCTATGGGTGGGGTGCCCCCTCTGGGGGAGCCATGGGCAATGGAGCCCCATGCTAGGCCCTCCCAGCTAGCTGCATATCCTGTCAGGTGACTCCTGTGTAGCCTCCCAGGCGTTAGGCTGTGGTGACTTTAATCACTCCTTAATTGGGTGATTAATGCTTTGCTTTGCTCTAAAGCCTAAACGCTCATAAAAAGCAAATTAACCGAGTAAACAGGAGTGAAACAGGCACTGTCCCTTTAGGCAAACTAATCAGGCCCGAGGTGGTAGGGCCCTCAGGCCGTGCTGGAGCCTCAGCCCCACAGGGGGACCTTGCCAGCTCCTGGGGCTAAGGCCTCAGTGTCCCCTTCATGCACCTGGAAGCCATTGGGCGGGAGACAGCCTCACCCGCCTCCCTAGCACAATATAGTCCTACCCTGCTCCCCCCCTGACCTGCATGCAAGTCCAGAGACTGGGGGCCTGACACTGTGGGCTTGGGTGCAGCTCTTGGCCCTGCTCGCCAGCCAGGTGGGCACCCATAGTGCTACGGCCCATCTCTCACAAGTCACCTACACTGGCCCCCGTGCCCCCGTCTCGGAGTCTCATGCCTCCGAAGGTTGGTCAGGTAATAGGAGGAAAGGGAGCTGGAGCAGGTGGCGGTGACAGTGGTGGACGTGGTGATGGGGATGATGACAGTGATGGTGGTAGTGGTGACAGTGGTGGTGGAGGTGATGGTGATAAAGGTGATAAAGGTGGTGGTAGAGGTGATAATGGTCGTGGAGGTGGTGGTGGTAGAGGTGTTTTTTCTCTAAATCAGCCACCACGGAACGCTGCAGTGATAAAGCCTGAATCTCCTGTTTCAGGGAGGGGAGCGACTGCCACGCCGGGCTGGGCAGCACAGCTTCCTTAGGCGAGCACTGAGTGTCTGCTCTGACGGGGCTGTCCCTGGAGGAATGTGTCTAACTAAGGCGCATCTGTTAACGTAGACTTTTGGTTAAAATTCTAATGCTTGTGAAGAAGCTTGGAGAGCTGTAGGGTTAGAAGAACCAGGGGATGGAGACAAGCCAGGCCACAAAGGCTCCAGGGGCCCCCGCTGGCCTGGGGACCAGCAACTGCATGTCCACTGTGGCAATGGACACGACCTGCCTTCAGAGGGCAGAGGCTGTAAAGGGGGCAGGTGGGGGCAAAGGCCCTCTAGTCCAGTTGGGGGCAGGGGGGAGAGGTTTATCCTGAGGCCAGCTCTCAGTGTGGGAATCCAGCTCACCAGCGCTCAGGTCGGTAGGCTATGCCATGGGGCAGCAAGGATGCTGAACACACAACAGATAAACATTTTGTCTAAAAATAAAGTCAAATTCTTGCAGCCATACCTGCCCGTGCAGCCCGGTGACCTGCCTGAAGTTAGAGTGACACTGAGAAGCTGTATCCAGAGAGCTGTGCAGACTCTGACCCAGACCGAGTGGGTGATGAGGCTGGCGCTGCATGGTTGAGGCGGCACGGGGCAGGGCGCAGTGGGGGTGGGCGCACAGTGGGTTGGGAAACTCTGGGGCACCCTGTGCGGTGGGGACCAGGCCTCAGCAGTTGGCCTGGGACAGGAGCTCAGGAGGCCAGTCCTGTGATCCCAGGGGCTTCTGGGTGACACTCCAGGCATGTTCTGGCAACCCTGTGGGCTGCTCTCCCTCAGCAGCTGCTGAGTGACACCCGTGGGCAGCGTGGTCCCAGAGCTCACAGGGCTCGCACCTGCATGCACCACGCTGGTCATGGTGGAGGGAATAGCGGTCACCTCACACTTCCCAGGACTCCCAGGTATGGGCCACACATGTTCAGGCCTCCAGAGCCCAGCTCTAGCCACATGGCACCAGGGAACAGCCTGGCCCAGGACTCCCCACCTGGATGCCCACCACATGAGGGACCCCCACAAGTCTTCCCGGCCTCATCACTCCACCCTATCCCAGTCCAACACTGGCTCAATAGGCCTTGCCCAGAGAACAGGTTTTCTTACTGTGTGTCCGCTGGCTGGCATCAGGCCTGGCCAGCTCGCAGGGCAGCCTTCATCCCCCTCCACCACAGGTTTGTGAAGCTCAGCTGGAAGCCAGAGGGGTCCTGGGCTCTAGAGATGAAGGGTTGCTGGCCTGCCAGTGCCCTCAGCGGGGTGGGGTACAGCCCAGGCTGGAGCTCAGTGGCTGTGCTCCCACACTGGGCTCCATGTCCTGACGCAGGGAGAGACCAGCTAGGGGTCTCAGCACTTCTGCAGGTGGCGCTAGGCTGCAGCTGTGCCTGCTGCCCAGCCAGGAGCACCTGGCCCAAGGCTCTGAGCCGCAGCCCCTCCACCTGTTCTGTACCCCCCACAACCAGCAAAGACCGCTGCCCACACGCCCAGCTGACCCCACTCCCCAGAGTGCTTTCCTGCCACAGGATTGGCCAGTCCAATACACACCATGTCCAAGTGACTGTTGTTGCACGCAGGCAGTCACTGCCCCAACCCCCGTGCCATGGTTCCCACTGGGGTACGTCTGGTGCTTCGCCGATTGGCCCTAGGTCCACCTGCTGCTGCCTGTCTGCAGCCCCTCATTAAGCCTTTGCCCCTAATGGATGACCACATCTCCCCACATCACCCTGGAACAGCGAGGGCCCCAAACAGCAGCTGGGGTGCTACTCCAGTCACCGCAGCAGGGGACCCCAGGTGGGGGTGGGAGTGCCCGTGGTATGTCTGCCCCGGTGGGCCTGATGCCCAGTGGGCCCCTGTCCAGGCCCTGGCTGCAAGGGCCAGCTGCGCGGGCTGTGGCCGACTCACCTCTCTCTCCCCACAGTGTGACAGTGAGAGCAGCGGGGACGATCAGGTAAGCTCCAGTGGGACAACTTCCCCAGGGCTGGGGCATAGCAGGCCTAGTGCTGGCACTGCCTCCTGCAGGCCCCTGGGGGTACTGTGGGCCTGGGATGGCTGCCATCACAGCCCACCCACCTGGTAGGGGGCACGGTTGGTGTAAAACAGCCTTGAGACTGGGGGCTCAGAGCTGGTATCCCTGGCATCCAGGCAGCTATCCGGAGCCACTGTCCCTCAGCTCCCTGGCAGGGATAAACCACTGATGGCACCACAAGCACCGCTGTGCCCAGGCCTCAGCCCCCACAGAGAAGCCTCCTGGTTCCCATTGTGGGGTGGGCTAGCAGTTGGCTCTGCTCCTCGCAGGGCCTGCTCACCTGGCTGTGCCAGCTGCAAGAGTGAGAGGCACGTGCCTCCAGGCCCTGCTCTGTCCTCACTGGTGCGGGACCCCAGGGTGGCAGCCCCTGGTCAGCTTTCTCCAGCAGGCAGCTGGGAAGAAAGACCAAGCTCCTCTCCTGGCCAGCCAGCTCTTTCCAAGGTTCCTTGAGGCTCCCCAACTCCCGATTCCTGCTTCCACCTTGCTGGCCAGGACCCTGGGCGCTGCCACCAGCTCTGCACTCAACAGCCGGGCATTCCACTCCCAACAGACAAGCCGACGGAGGGCCCTGAGCCTTCCCCCTTCCCTAGGACCTACCCATGGCCTTCTGGTTTCCCCTCCATGGCCGGTGGGCAGACATGCCTGGTGCAGGGCCCCTGCTCTGGGTGAGTGAGTTCTGCAACCCTCTGGACCCTGCAGCCATCTGTCTAGTGACCTGGCCAGTGGTGGGCACTACACTCCTATAAGGGATGTCTGTCCAGCCTACCTGCCAGATTCCCCACAGGAGGTAGCCCAGTACCAATTCTTGGAATAGGGCTAGGCTGGGGGGCAGCTGGCAGCAGGTGGCTAGGAGAAACAGGGGACCTGAGGTTCCAGTTCTGGGAGGCCCCAAGAGGCTAAAGCTGTGGTCTCCATGGTGCCTGGGGTGGGTGAGGGCACAGTTCCTCCCTATAGACCCTGCAGGCATTGCCCTCCTGTGGCTGGTGGGCCCACCCACCAGCCACAGCCAGGCTGGCTGCTACAAACTGCAGAGAATGGACAGAACAGATGTGTGAATGACCTAGTAGCTCTATGGTTCTGGGCTGCCAAGGCTGGGACCTGCTGCTGCCAGTGGCCCCTCTGGACCCTGAGCCCACGTCCCAGGGGATCTGGAGGCACACTCTCTCCTCCCTCACTCCCACACTCCAGCCATCTGCAGAGACCTCTCAGGTCAGAGGAGACAAGCATGCATCCTGCCTACACTCCCACTGCACAGCCTCTAACCCTGGTCCTGCCTGGGTGGGTGGGTCCCCATGTCCACTCTGGCCAGCATTGTGCATGCCAGAAGGGGTCCAGATGGCTTTGTTGGGCCAGAAGTGGAGCAGCTGCAGGCCTGAGCTTCACACCCTTAGAAGCTCTGCTCTAGCTTCTGCCCTTCCAGTCAGGATGCTGAGGTCACACGTGCTGGGCAGTCTTCCACTGACCAAGCCCCTGTTGAGGCCCCCACACTGCCAAGGGGGTGGTAGGCTGGCCGTCCCCCTCCAGGGCAGCTGAGGGGGCCAGCAGCACACGGGGACCCTGATGACCCCCATCTGTTTCACAACAGTGGGCTGTGGAGTGGCTGGGCAGAGAGCTCTGGGTACATCCCTTTGGCCCACAGGTGTGCTTTGGAATCTAACATTTAGGGTCTCGGCTCCTAGCTTCACATCTCTCCACCCATCCCTGCTCTGCTCTGGACCCAAGCTACTGTCCTCTCTGTACAGAATGAGACCACCTACCTTTCCCAGCCCATTTTACCTCCAAGCCAGGGGAGGAGGGACCTGACCTGGGCCACTGATGAGGCTAGTCAGCCACAGCTCCCCTACCCACACTGCTGCTGGAACCCCATTCACTACCCAGGTGGGGTGGCAGCCAGCTGGAGCCCAGGAACGCCAGGCCCTTCCCTGCTGAGACCTGAGGCTGCTAGTGGGGGTTTGCCCAGAGTCAGGCTGGGTGTGGCCCTGGAAGGTGGGTACAGCCTGGTCACATAGGAAGGGTCTGGTCTGGTCTGCCTGCCTCCAGGTGGGGCCCTCTGCTCCCCCCCCCCCACACTCCAGGCTGGGCCCTCTTCCCTTTGTCCCCAAACCTGGCCCCTTGTGACCCCTGCTGCCTTGGAGGGTCCCTTTGCAGGTCTCCTCTTTCTCCCTCTATACTGGAGGCCTGTCTCTTCTACCTGGCCCAGGGCTCTGTGCCCCCCACGCCTGGGCATGCTATGAGTGGCACAGGCTCTTCTCCAGCATCTTGGCCTGGTCCTGCTCCTCCAAGTCTCAAGTGCCCCTGCTAGAGGACCGCTGTGCCTGCCCCTGAGCTTGACCCAAGCTCTGATGGGCACTTGAGGGCCAGCATGGGGCCACTGTGAGCTCCCTGCTCTGCATCCTGTCGTGGCAGGGTGCTGGTGCAGGAGGCGGAGCCCAACCATCTTCCAAGTGTTCATGTCTGGACTGGGGCCAGTGGGCACACTAGCTACCTTCAAGGACAAGGGCAGTGGCCTCCCCACCCTTCCAAAAGGCACCCTAGCTCCTGGCCCTCTCTCCTCTCTTCCCACCAGCCACCTCACCCATTGCCCCTCTTCTACCAGTGGCTACAAGGCCACCTGGATATGACCACCCCCCAGCTCAAGGTCAGCATGTGGGCAGGGCACTCAGGCTCCTGCTGGGCCTGCAGGACAAGTGCCCTCTGCCCTATGCCCAGAGGAATTGGTGTTCATGAGTAGGTGTTGCCTTTGGGGCTGGGTGATGGCCAGGGAAGCACCCAGGCCAGGCCCTGGAGGACAAGTGTCTGGGGAGGCCCATGGGCAGAGGGCCAAGCCCTGCACTGTGCAAGTCCCCTTGCTTTGGGCATCTGCCAGTCAGCCTCCAGCAGCCTTGGGCGGGGCCCAGCTAGTGCTTATTGTTTTATAGCAGAAAGCAGCGGATGAGGATAATGCATGTATTGGGGGGATAACCCAAACAGGATAAAAGGGGTCACAGCCACCAGCAGGCTGGCACTACCAGTCACCTGTCCACAAAGGTGCTCCTCTAACACCTTGTGATCTGGCCTGTGAATGTCTGGGCTTCCACAGAACTTCTGCCTCACCTTGCTCCAGGATACACCTCCGGATGCCCCCAGCCCCCCAATGGGTTAAGAGGGGCCCTTGCATTTCTCCCCTCTGCAGTCTCCACGGGCTTCCTGGTGGGCTTCTATGGGCGCTGTACTGCCGCGCAGGGGTTGCTGGGGGGAAGTGGTGCCCACTCTGCCTTCGGGCGCGTTCTGCACCTCTTCACTTGGCTTCCCTCCATGGGAAACCTCCCCGCGGTGGGGGCGAGTGGATGAATCCTCAAGGCGCTAGGGCCAACTCTCTGGAACTGCTCCCCGTTCTCCTAGTTGCTTCCCGTTTTTGCTGGCGGTGAAACTGAGGCTCCGGGAGGGCGGACTTGGGCAGAAGTCGGGCATCCCTCCCAGTTTCTCGAGGTGCTCTTCTCAGTTTCCTCCTCTGTAAACTAGGCATAGTGTTCATAATTCGTGGCAGTGAGGGTCGGGGCGTCGGGGGCCAAAAAGCGCCTGGTGCGCGCTGACACCAAGTCCCTGGCCCTGGGCGGAGACTACCCGGTGTTCGCCGAACGGGAGTGGCGGCCCCCCAAGATCCGCGCCTCGGGGCTGGATTAGTCGGGGCTGCGCGCGCCCCGCCCCCGCCCGCTCGCACCTCCCGCCCAGCGCCCGACGGCGCCCAGGGCTCCGAGCGCACCGAGAGCCGCTCGGAGCGCACCGAGCCGGCCACAGACATGCGCGCCCCCGGCCCGAGTTCCGGCTAGGCAGGCGCGCCTGGAGGCGGCCGCTCGACAGGCTGCGGCCCAGGGACCAGCGGCGATCCCCTGCGGAGCGCGCCGAGGCGGGGGCGCCGGCGCGGTGAGTGCGCGCCGCAGCTCCGGGGCGGGAGTCGAGAAAGCCACTGTTCACTCTCGGAGAACCGGGTGCGGAGGCTCCGGGCGCTCTACCCATCTGGGAGCGAGGCGCGCGGAGCCCCCGTGTCCAACTGGCTGCACCCCTTAAGCACACGTGGCGCCAGGCGGATGGGGGTGCAGCCCCTTTGAAGGTCCCGGCACCAGGAGCCGGCTATGCCTGCGGATCCAGGCGTCGAACGGGGAGAGCGCCTTTGTTTGCTTCCCCGAAGCGGGCTTGCCCGCCGGGGGTCCGGCGCCTGCCGCGCTCACCTGCCTTGTAGTTGGAGTTCTTTGTCTGGGGCGGGGCGCGGCCGGCAGAGCCTGCCGCGTGTCTGGGTCACTGCCACCCCATGGGTCTGGCCCTCGCAGACAAAGCCGCTGTGACCTCCACCTGCAGCTGGGACCGTGCCCCTCTGGGGACTTAGTGGTAGCCCCAATCATGCTCCTCCACTGGGACCCTAACCCTGGAACCTGTGCTTTGCCCTGGAGTGACCTGTTCCTCCCACCTGGCACTGGGTGAGTGCCAGGACCAGAGGTGGCTGTGGCTACAAAGTCCTGGGCCTGGGGAAGCTGTTCCCTGCCTGTAGGAAGTGTCCTGAAGCCTGTATCACTGGCCCCCAGAGGTCCCCAGAGCTAGGTATGCCTTCCTGGACAGGTGCAGCACTGCAAACAACTCTGATCCCCCAACTTCCTTGAGCAAACTTGAACTTGAGCCAGTGGTGTGTTGTGGGGTCCAGATGGACCTGAGAGAGCCCTTTCTGACATGATCTGTGAGGAGCTCCAGAAGTGTGGGAAACTGCTCCCCAACTTCCCCAGAGTCACGGGCACCCCCTCTAGGTATTGGGAGCTGGGCCTTGAACTGAGCCAGAACTTGGGGGGGGGTTGCTGGGAAGGGCTTATAACTAACTAGCCTTCTCAGGGCTGAGGAGAGGATGCTAGGTGGCAGGTGTAGGGCCTTGCCTCACTCCAGGTCCTGTAGCCCGTGCACCCACAAGGGTGTCCCTAGTGATAGTTGAGGCAGCATGGCCCTGGCTTTTCACCTTCCACTTCTGCTGACATGCGCCCTTGGTGGCCCTTACCCCACCCTTGTCCCCAAGCATCCTGGTAGGGAAGTAACTGCTGTCCACCACCTCAGCTCAACAGGGCACTAATGCCACCCTCCCTCCCACCCACCCAGGGCAGGGACTTTGGCTCCAGTGGGCAAGGTGAGGCCCTGGGAGGCACCCAGTCCCAGGGTTTGTACTGGTTTGACTTTGGCCACCTGGGTGGGAGCAGACAAGACTGGTGGTGACTGGCACCACAGGTGTCAGCGCACCCCAAATGGGGTGGCTGTGGAGCCCCTGGTGAGCATGGTGCCACCTAGTTCTCCCACCTCCTGGTTACAACCGCAGCCCTGGTCAGTAGCCTGAACACCCTCACTTCCCTGCAAACAGACCTTCCTCCCCATCAGGGCCCACCTGTGTGGCCCCTTGCCCTGTGTTTGAGCACAACGTGGACTCTCCCTGGCACTTTCACAGGCAGTAAACTTGCCTGTGTCCAGCGCAGCCAGCATATCCCCACTGGAGTCTGCTGAGGACCTCTCCACCACCCAGAGCACTCCCTTGGGCTTCTTTATTCCATGTTTGATTTGTTTTGGTGAGGCACATAACCTGAAATTCACCATTATGGCCTCATCTTCAGCCTCCTGCAGAGCCCATGCATCTTCCCCATGTGGACACTGGCCCCTGCCCCATAGGGCTCCAGGGAATGGCACCACAGGGCCAGTCTTTGCTGCACTGCTTCTCCACTCAGTTCAGTGCTGAGGCAGTGAGAATTCCCTCTCTTTGCTAGGTGGGACAGTCATATGCCAAGCATTCTGGCTGGCCATTAGGTCCAGGCTGCAGTGACCAGTGTGTTGACCCTGAGACCCTGCCTTCTGGTCTAGGGTGGGCACCTGGAAGTGGGTGGGGCATGCTCTCAGGTGTTTGACTCTGGATGCACCCCAGGGGAAACCCATGCATCTTCCCTCCTGTGGAGAAAGTTGGGCCCCTTGTGTCCAACTGCTGGTGTGGTAGTGGCTCATTGTGAAGGTGTAGCACCTCGGGACTGGTAGCCTCTAGAGCCAGTGGAGTCCACTGACCCTGCCCCTGGACCCCTGAGCAGCCAGATGACCCTGTGGGGGCAAGCATGGCTCTTCCCCCCCTCCCCATCCCCCCAACATGAGGTGCTGGGCAGGACATGATTCCCCCTTCCCCTGACCCTCTCTTCCAGGCATCTGTGAGCTCGGAGCAGCTCTTTGGCCCAGCAGCCGACACAGGTAGGCGTGGCTCTTGGAGTGGGCGGGCCCTGGCCCAGTAAGCCTGTGTTCAGGTTCCAGGTGCAGAGCTGAGGCAATTGCTGCTGCGACTTACTGTGCTATCCCCCAAGACATACGTGAGGACATCAGGGGAGCCAGGGCTGGGCTGAAGTGGTGCTCCCCAGAGATGGGGGTGGGCATCTTCTAGACTTCTGGCCAGCAGCCTGCTATGGGTGGTGAGGAGCCGCCTCTCAACTTCCCAGTGGGCTCTCAGTCTAGTGCCACCCAGGCCCCATGCAGAGACCTCTGGCCCAGAGGGCTGGGTGGGGTGGGAAGGTCTGGGCCGAGGCCCATAAGGCAGACACCCAAGAAGTGTGGACCTGGGACTGTGCCTCCGCCTTCCTGCCTCTAGGCTGCTTGGCCTGGTTGCTGCAGAGACCCTCTCTTCCAATTGAAGTCATGGTGGCCGCAGGTCCTGAGGGGACGCATCAGCACCCCCAGCCCAGCACAGGGAAGCAGCCAGGCTGTGGGTGCAGATGCCATGTGGGTAGGGGTGGGGGTGATGGGCAGCCACTGCACCCCAGTTGGCTGCTGCTGCTGTCCCCATTTTGGACAAACCCAGAAAAGGCAGGGGCAAGTCAAGAGGCCACATTAGGATTTGGGGCAGGCCGCCAGCTGCTGCCACTGCATGTGTCCCCTAGGCCTAGACTGCTGGAGCAACCCAAAGGGTATCTACACAACGACCTCCTGGAGGGGGGATTTGCCTGGGCAGTGACCCCAGGCAGCCTTGGCCCCCATCCTCAGGACCACTCAGGGTTGGCCCATGTGGATGCTGAGACCTTGTTTATAGCGCCCTCAGGGACCTACCCAGCAGGGCCCACTCAGAACCACTGAGGAATGTGGGTGGGGGGCTCTGACATCAGAAAGTGCACTGGGCACCAGCATAAGTCATTCAGGCAAAGCCCCTGCAGAGGGGCCTGGACCACCCTGACACATTTTGCATGGGCCCTGCTGTGGAGAAACCGCTGGGAGCCAGGGCCGCACTCTCCCTGGCACACCTCCCTGGAGGATTAAGAGGCAGGCCTGCGCCTCCATAACTGTCTGCTTCCCCATCAACAGCCAGTGGTACCTGGGCACATGGTCGGGGAAGCTACAGCCAGGGACCTCAGGCTCACTCCAGCCCTGTCCCTGCAGGCCCCAAACAGGGTGAGAAGCTTGAGGCCAAGGCCGGGGCACCACCCAAAGTCTCGGGCTTGGAGCGCAGCCGCGAGCTGAGCACCGGGCCACCCTTCCCGCCCTCGGCGCGCAGTCCCGCGCCCGCCGCCAGCCCCGCGCAGGGCGCCCCCGCCAGCCCCCTGGTCAAGAAGGAGGCCCCCGCCCCGGCACGCGCGCCCCTGCCGCCCTGCGCCCCGCTCCCGACGCACGTGCCTCTCCCTGCTGGCGCTCTCCCTGGCCCCAGCCCCAGCCAGGCGGCGCACCCGGGTTTGCACAAGCTCAGGTGGGTGCAGACGCTCGCGCGCGCGGGGCGGGCAAGCCGGCGGGCAGGGGGCGCGCGCAGGCACTGAGCCCCTGTCCCCCGCAGGAGCAGCAGCGCCGGCCTGGGGCTCGCCAAGCTCGCGTCCCTGGCGCCGGCCGGGCCGCGCCCGCACCTCTCTACCTCACACTCGGCGCTCCGCTCGCAGGCCCAGCACCAGCACCCCGCGGCGGCCATGTTCGCCCCGCCTCCGACACTGCCCCAGCCGCCGGCACTGCCGGCCAACGGCCTGGTGCTCCCGGGACACCCCGCGGGTAGGTCTGGCCAGGGTCCCACCCCTCCACGTGCAGAGGCGCAGCCTTGGGGCTCTGTCCCAGTGGGGTGGGGTCCTGAACCCCTTGCCACTGTGGCTATGAGGGCCCACCCCCACCCCCGGTAGGAGGGGAGACCCCTGATGTGCTTGCTTCTGGTAGGACTGGTGCCCAGGGCCAAGTCCAGAGACACAGGGCCCGGCCCTGCCTGCCCAGCTGAGGCCACCTCTCTCCCCCAGATGCCAGCCTGCTGGTCCCGCTCAGCCCACCGGTCTCGCACTGCCAACCTCGCGCGGGGATTCTGATTGGTACTTGGGCACAGACGCCTCTCCTCCCTCCTCCCTCAGGCCCACACACCGCGAGCGGCCCCCCGGGCCTAACCTGCGGCCACCGCGAGTGCCAGGTGACTACCCGCCTCGCCCCCGGGCCCACGGCCGACGCGCCTCTCTGTCTCTCTCTCTCTTCTCTTGTAGATCACGAGCTGCTCAGGCAAGAGCTGAACGCGCGTTTTCTGGTCCAGAGCGCTGAGCGGCCCGGCGCCCCCCGGGGCCCCGGGGCTCTGCTGCGAGCGGAGTTCCACCAGCACCAACACACACACCAGCACACACACCAGCACCAACACACATTCGCCCCCTTCCCTGCCGGGCTGCCCCCAACGCCGCTGGTGCCGCCCACCGCACCCCTGCCGGTGCGTAGGCCCCGCCAGGCAGACACGCAGGCACCCTGCTAGGGCACCACAGTCCACACAGCGCTCCCCCCCACGGGTGGCTTCCATGGGGACTGCTGCTCAGATGGCTCTGTGTCCACATGAGCTGTGATCTGGTGTTCCCCAAGCGGCATCCTCAGTGCCCAGGTGGGCGTGGGGTGGCAGGTCCGATTTCTAAGAGGGACAGACCAGACCCCTGTGTACTGAGGAGCCCCTGCTCCCCTGGGCTTTACCTTGGGAACCACCAGTGTGCTGGCTTTTGGGTGTCTTCTGCCTATGCACCAGCGTGGGCTCTGTGCCCCTTGCAGCTGCAGCCCCCTTCCCCCCGGCCAGGCATGTTTGGGTCCCCAAACCTTGGCACACGACCCTCAGCAGTGGGGTCAGTGGCTCCAGCTCCGGCTGCTGGCCTGGGGCCACGAGCAGTATCTGGTGGCACAGACAGCCAAGTGGGGTGATGGGCCAACAGAGGGCACTGGGCCTAGAGGGCACCTCACTCTGGTCTTTTGTTACAGTTTGAGAAGTTCACACCCAAGCTGGACAGTCCCTACTTCCGACATTCCAGTGTGAGTGTTCTGGGGTCCTTGTAGGGTAGGCAGAGGGGAAGGGAGCTCTCCTGTCCCTGGTCCCTGCAGCCTCCAGACTGGAGCCAGGGTGTCTGGGTACCTGCCTGATCCCTGGAAGGCCCTCTCTTTTTCTTCCAGTTCTTCCCGGCCTTCCCTCCGGCGTTCCCCGGACTACCTGCCCTGCTCCCACACCCGGGCCCCTTTGGGTCCCTGCAGGGCGCTTTCCAGCCCAAGGTATCTGCTGCTCCGGGAGGGGCTGCCCTGGGTGGGTGGCCCTGTGTGTCCTGGTGGGATACTGTCCTCCATTGGGGTGAGGTGAGCTCTGGTTGGAAGGCTTCCAGCAGGAGGGAGCTTTGTGTCCCACAACATTCAGCCCCAGACTCCAGGGAGACCTGGGAGCCCTCAGCAGGCCTTAGCCTAGACAGCCTTCCTGCCTGGGCACACCATGCAGTCTTTGGGGTGTTCAGGGGAGATGGCCAGGAAGGTGCCACCAGTACATAGTCCATACTGTGAGACTTGGTGGAGGGTCTGTGGGCCCTTGGCCCGCTGGCATGTAGCCCTGCCCAAGGCCGTGTGGGCTGTGAGGACTGGCCTCCAGGAGCAGTGGCATGCCCTTCTGCACACTACCAGCTCCACCTGTGCCCTGCACCTCTCCCCTCTCAGACCTCAAGCCCGATCGAGGTGACAGGTCGGGCCAGCACCATCCACACATTGCTCCAGAAAGCCCCTGTGGTAAGTGTCAGCTCCTCCCTGTAGCTGGGCACCCACAGTGGCCGCAGAGCCTGGACTGAGCACCCTCCTCTGCCTTGGCAGGTGCCTGACCCATATAGGACAGCAGCCGTCAGGGTGAGCACGGGTTGGGGCTGCGAGGGTGTGGGACATCCTGGGGAAACAGCCATGGGCCATGCTGAGTGTCCCCCACCGCAGAAGCCAGGGCGGTGGTGCGCTGTGCACGTGCAGATCGCTTGGCAGACATACCGCCATCAGCAGAAGATGAAGGTGAGTTTGGTCGGGCTGTGGGTGCAGCAGGGTAGGGGAGGGTGGCCTGGGCAGAGCTGGTTGGCGACCACATGGGGATCGGCAGTGTCCCTTGAATGCCAGAGCCTTGGGGGCAGCAGGCTGCAGCTCCGGGGGCAGGCAGGGGCCAGGCAGGAGTCTGAGTCTTGGCCTGGAGAGCCCTGAGACCTGCACCTGGGTGGCCACGTCCCTGCCCGTGAGTCCACATGCTTCGGACATAGCTGGGAGTCTAGTATAGCCACAGGAGTCAGGCAGGCCAGAGGTCAAGGGACAGAGGCAGGGAGCTGGTCAGGGAGGGGTGTGGGGATTCCTGGTGCTGGAGGGAGGCTTGGCCAGCTCTGGGCCAGGTTAACCGAGTCCTACCTGCTTCACTGGACATGTGGCTCCAGGAGGGGCCTAGAGGAAGCCCCTCCACTGGGGCCCTGCCTTTATGGGCAATCCTTATGGCAGGAAGGGAGCTCCGAGTGGAACAGGGGTCCTGACCCCGGGAGACAGCCCCTCAACACCCTGTTCCTCTCAGCAGATGCAGCTGGACCCACACAAGCTGGAGGTGGGTGCCAAGCTGGACCTGTTCAACAGGCCCCCTGTCCCTAGTGTGGTCACCAGCCTCCACTACCCGCAGGACCTAGCCAGGCCTCTCTTCTCCAGCTCCGGTAAGGTGGCGGGGTGGGGCTGCTGCCCTGGGGAGAAGCCCCAGCTGGGCTTGGGGCCCTGATTCGGGGGTTGCCCCCTTCCTCCCCTTCCTGGAACTGCTACCCTAGCTCATCCAGACACCCAGCACCCCACCAGCCGTCCGATTAGGGTCCATCACCACCCCAGCTTGAGTTGTGAGGAGCTCTCCCAGGACTCAGCATCAACCCTGAGACTGAGCTGGGCACGTGGGTGTGGCGGGGGGCTGCACCAAGGGCTGCCCCCAGGGGCTAGGGGCCCAGCCTGGTTCTGGTGGGGGCGGGCCCCGCATAGCCACAGCACTGCAGGCCCCGGTGCAACCTGGGCCCAAGACTTCTGGCTGGGAGACAGCTTAACCTGTGTGTGCGCCTCTACCCCTATGTTCATTCTCTGGGTTCCCTCTGACCCCAGCTGCACTGGTGGCACAGAGGTTTGTGTTCTGGGGTCAGGTCCCTGGGAACGGAGCCTGTGGCAGCAGGGGGCTGAGGAGGTCATATTCAGGCCCAGAGATGGAGCAGGAGGCACAGGGACATCCACCCCACCCTCAGACCACACTCCCCAGGCACCACCACCTTCTCCTTGACTGCCCGCCCCTTCTCAGGCCAAGTGGCCCCACTGCTGTCAGTGATGGGCTGGCCCTCACTCCCTCCCAGGCCCACCTTTCTGCCAATGGTTCTGGCATTAGAGGGTCCCAGAGAAAGCTGGGGTGCCCCTGCCAGTGAACCCTAGCAGCCCACCTCTCACCAGGTACCACCCATCCTGCCGTCACCCCATTTGGGCCCTCCATCCACCCCAGCAGCTTCTTGACTTCTGGCCGCCTGGCAGGTAGGTGCCCTTGAGGTGGGTGCAGGCTGGTCTCCTCCACAGACCTCAGGGCTGGGGGCAGGGTCCCCCAGATGGCAGAGGGGGCTCCTGCCAGGCTCGGGGGTCCCAGGAGAGGACCAAGGGCAGGTGGAACTCTGGGGGGGGGACCACTGAGCCACAGGCCCGACCTGCCCCTGCAGACCCCTTCGGCAGATCCAGCACCTTCGGAGGCCTGGGCAGCCGGGGCAGCGGCGCCTTCGGAGGCCTGGGCAGCCCGGCACTAGGTGAGTGGCAGCATGGCTGCCCCCCCCCACCTTGGCCCAATCGGCCAGGCCGTGGGGCTGGGCATCTGCTGCAGCCTCACGCTTCCTCCCCCAGCTCCAGGTGGCAGCCTCATCGCCCCCAAGGAGAGCTCTGGGCTGCCCAGCCTACCCAGCCCCCATGAGGCCTGGGACCGGCCTACCCGGGCAGCACCCTCCTTCCCCACGCCGCCACTGTGGCCCAAGCCCTTGGATGCTGAGCGAGCTTCAGCCTTGACCAACCACGACCGGGAGCCTGACAAGTGCAGGGAGGAGCGGGAGCGGTGAGTGGGCCCACGCTCCTCGCCCACCCACCCTGCACTGCCCTCAGCCGCGCCCAGTTAGGCCCAGCTCTGCCTCTGCCTCCCTGTGGGGAGTGGCGCCTTCCGCGTGGGGGAGGCGGGTAACACCAGCCGCTGCACTGCCTTAGGAGGACTCTGAGGGCTAAGGGCTGCCCAGAGACAGGCCCTTGTCCCCCACACTGGGTGATTTTGGGTGGCAGAATGGGTTGCGGCAGGCAGAGGGGGGTTCTACACTGCCTGGATGAGGGTTGCTGAGCCACCAGGAGCCCAGGCCAGGAGGGGCATGTTAGGGAGTTCCCCTAAACTGGCCTGGGGAGGCAGGACTCCCATTCAGGACATCAGCAGTCTTGATGGGGGTTCATCATGGCGTGAAGGGCTGTCGACAGAAGGAAGCAACGCAGGGCACCCAGACCCCAAGATCCTCCACTCCTCCCCAGCCCGGCATTTGGGGCATGAGTTCTGGGTGTAGCCGAGGCCAGCGTTGCCAGGGTGGGTGGCAGGGTAGTACGGCTGGAGGGGCTATCACATAGCCAGAAGGGCACTGTAGGGAGCCCCACTGGTACCTGGGGGAAGGAGAGCTGGGCCCCAGATTTGTTTACAGAGGGAATGGAGGCATGGTGGAGGTGCGGGGGTCTGGTGTGCCACAGGAGCTGCTGAGGCCTAGAGCAGGGCCTAGAGCTCACAGGATATGGGAAGCCCTCAGGTCCTGAGCTGCGATGTTGGGGCTGAGTGGGGTGTCTGGCTTGTCCCTCCCCAGGGACCTCCTGGAAAAGACTCTCCGGCTGAGTCGGGCCTCCCCAGGAAGCCACCCTCTGTTTCGAGGCCACGGAGTCCCCATCGAGCGTGAGGCTGGGCCCCGTGTCAAGGAGAATCACTCTCCGGCTGGGGAGGACAGAGGCAAGGGAGTGGCCTGTGAGCCTTCGCCTTCCACGCCAGGGGCCCTGGGCAACGGCCTGCGCCTGGCCAGCCTCCTGGCTGAGCGGCCCCAGAGTGACATAAAAGTCAAAGAGGAGCGCTGGGAGGATGGCGAAGTGCCAGAGCCCCCAGGAAGCGGCCTGTCTCCCGCACTCAGCCTGGGCCCGGCAGGCCTCGAGCGCCCTGTGGCGCCGGGTCGTGCCTGGGAGCTGCAGCTCGATGCCTACCGAGGCCTGGGCCCCATCGACCCCCGCGAGCGAGCCTACCGTGACCGCGAGCCCCTCGGCCACAGCCCA